CCGCCAGCAGCCGCCCCGACGCGCGTGCTCGTGGGGCCTAGGAAGCGCGCACCGCCGCCCTCGGAGCGGTTGCTGGAGGAGCTGGTTACGCGCGCCAGCGATTTTTGCAAGAGGGGGACCAAAAAATATATACATAAAAAAGTTGTGTGTGTTCTTTTTTAGTCCCGTGTGGGTGCAGTAAGCGAGGCCAGGAGAGCCGCCTCCGACTGCGAGCTCCGGCCCCGCTGCAAGGCAGGGCGCCCACCCCCAGTGTTATGCACTTGCTAGGTCTCTGACTTGCAAGGCAGGGCGCCCACCCTGGGAAGCCAATGTTATGCACTTGCTAGGTCTCTGACATGCAAGGCAGGGCGGGCGCTCACCCTGGGAAAGCCCTACAAGGCAGGGCGCCCACCCTGGGAAGCCAGTGTTCTGCACTTGCTTAGGTCGCTGACATACTGAGCGGACACATGAATGTCTTTTCTCTAAAACATTTTATCTTTCATTGTGCGTTTTTTTTTTTTTTCTTAACCCAGGGTAAAGACGAGGGTCAGAGAGTGCAAAAGTATGACTCAGGCGCACATGATGTTCAGCGTTAAGCAGAAGCTAAATTTCAGCTGAAAAAACTTGGCCCCAGTAGATGAATGGGTTTTTTAATTTTTTTTATTTTATATGTGTAAGTGTATTGTCTGCATGTGTGTAAGTGCACTGGTGTTGTGCAGTGCCGGCCAGGATCAGAACGGGGTGTAGGATTCCCGGAACTGTTGTGACCTGAACTCTGTCTTCCACAAGGGAGGCCATGAGCCATGTCTACAGCCCCTAGATGCCTGGTTTGTTGTTGTTTTAAGCTAGCTCAGTCTACTGTTGTTAGCCCAAAGAATCCATTTAATTTCTCACCACTGACTGGATGAAGTTGACTTAAAACAAACCTAGGCCTGAGGAAAGGGCCTCAGGATTGTCCTGGGTAGTCAGAACCTATAAGAGCCCTTGAAAGTTTATACTGGTCTCAGTGCAAACCTTCATTTGGAAGCCCGGCCCTGTGGCCTTCGTAGGACTGACTTCCTGTTATGGTATGAGTCTAGGAGGTGTTTCCTGGCCCTTCTCCTGCCCATAGCACAGGGACGGGTAGGTTGCATGTCGCAAGAAAATGGCTCCTTCATTAACTGCCAATAGATATTTACCAAGATCAGGAAAGGGGTCAAGGCAAACACCCCTGCTCTCCTGGAACTTAGCTTCTAGCAGGAATCAGACAACTAACAAACAGGCGATACTATTGGTGGAGTAGGCAGAGAGAAGCAAGAAAATGATGGGGATGTTACAGTATAAAGAAGGCTCAGAGAAGGCCTCTGTCAAGTGAGACAGAAAGGAACAGAGAAACACAACATCCTGTTGGCTGAGACTCCTAGACCCTCAGTTGCCTCTTCAGAAGGCAGAAGAGGCTGCTGTTAGTTAAGGTCAATGGATGTGGCCTTGCTCAGTGCACAGGAAAGCCCTGGGTTAATATCCCTGGACAGGCCACACTGGATCTGCACTGTTCCTCCAGTCAGGCACTCCTCAATGCCCTCCAAGGTAGGAAGTGTTTCAGCCAACTTTAAGAAGAGCAAACAAGGGAATGCACACAAACACTTCCCTGGCAAAGTGAAGCGTTACAAATACACTTTAAGCTAGGGAATAAAAGACACCCAATAAACAGGAGTACTTTCTCCTCTTAGTAATTTAAAAGCTTGATTTGCGACACCTGGAGGGTAAAGCTGTAGGGGAATAGGCAAGTGGAGATTAGCAGCTGCAGATCAGTACCTGGAGAGTCAGTGGACTTGCTCGTGTTCCCAGCCTACAAAATGCAGCTTTTCAAGTGCAAGCCACTCAGGAGGAAACCCTACCCCTTTTTCTGCTGCATCTGGAAAGTCTAGAAGTCGGAGCAGATATGGCCCTTACTAGCTTAGACTAATGACACCCTCTGAGTCTCAGCAATCCCATGCTCCCCAACAGAGCACTGAGAACGTAATAGTGAGCACTTGGACTTGTCTTCCCCTGGGCTGCAGGTAAATCTGCTTTGATTTTTATATGTATTGTGGCCTTCCCTCAGAAGTTGTCAGCTAGCACCTGTCACTTCTGACCTGGCAGCTCTCGCTCTCAACCTCTGTTATCTGGCATAAACAATAAACATGATCCGTTATTAAAAGCCTAGAATTGGTGAATACATGTGTCTGTTCCCAGAGGCCCTGAGTTCCAGAGCTTTCAGATACTGTCACCTTGGGCCCGGGTGCCATCACGTAAAATAAAGGGGTAGGTATGTCACAATGGCCACACAGAGCTCTTCCAGCTGGAGCTGACTTGTGCCTACACTCTGCTCTGCAGATGCAAGGAATAAAAATTATTCCAGCAAGCTAAGCTCACAGCGATGGTAAACAGCTGGGATTTCTTTCTTGACTGACTTCACCAGCAAGCCCAAACTGCTGCCATCAATTGCTGTTTCAGTTTCATCTGAAGATTATGTTATGTATCTGCTCCTCCCCTGCCTCCTTCAGCCAAAAAAGGACTATATTAACAATGAGATATTGTGCTCTGGTAAGTATATGCCTCCTCGGTCTGGTCTGCAATTAGAATTTCAAACCTTCACACCTCAACCCACCATTTCTGGGGTTTGTGGGCCATAATCTTCTTTAAATTTGAAACCCTGCCCTAGTGCAAACCATCTGTACCTCCCATTTTCTGAAATACCCTGAACACCATTCCTGGATATCTAAAAGCAAATAGAATCTGACGTGGGCAAAACTTAAATGCTGAATTTCTTTACAGGGAGCTACCCAGAAATATACAGTATCATTTCCAAAGCCAGGAAAAACACATGCACAGAGACTTAGACTTGTGCACACCCAGCTTCATATAAAGCAAGCATCATCTATGTGGTCATCATTATAATCCCCCTAAACGACTGTTTAGTAGTCCTGGGTCTCTCTTCCTGCTTGCTCTGCTCACAGGGGTAACACAGCCCTCCTGGAAGGATGCTTTTTGTCTCTTTCAGTAGAGGCAGCAGTAATGGTGGTGGCTTGGGGCTCATTCTTCTGGACTACTGACCCCACTATCATCTGGGAATTGGCTCTGAGTCACATTTCCAGTCGCAAGCCTCGGAACCAAAGGGGTACACTTGGAAGATAATTGATAATGAACCGGGGTGGAGAACTAGGCATGAGTAGTCAAGGGTGCTAGGTGCCCTGTGGGCCTCAACAAACCAAGAGGAGTCACTGGTGCTCTGAGCCACAGCACGGGCCACCCACAGCACTCAGCAAAATTTCCTGGGGAAGAGAGGGAAAGCGAAGAGAAAATGCTTCATGTTGGTTGAACTTGGCTTTGTCTCTTGAACTTAGCCTTGTTTTCTCATATGCAAAATTAGGGTAATCGGTGATGAGCTGTGATTCAGATTGTTATGTAAAATGAGATGGAAGGCCAGTAAAGATGTCAAGGCATCCTGAAGAGTCAACTTATATGGATTCCCTTTGAACTTTTATGTGAACCATGACTATAAATACACCTCCTTTCATTCCACAACTCAGCTCAAATTAGTCACCTGGAGGAAGGAAGGAGGGGAGGGGAGGTCTGCAGAGTAATTCAGAGTCTGGGACCTCAGATGTCGGCATAAATACTCTGGAAGCTTTGCCTAGTCTGGTAAGAAACCAGACCTCTTTGTTATAGTTCTGGATTTGGGAAGTAAATGAACAGTATCTAAAGTCACATAGGATGAATGCCAGTCAGGATAAGAAGTGTTCAGAGAGCCAGCAGGAGATAGCTCAGTGAGTAAAAGTATTTGCCACCAACCCTTACAAACCAGAGTTCAGTCCCTGGAACCCACAGTGGAAAAGAGAATGGACTTCTGAAAACTGTCATCTGAACTCCACACATGTGTGTGCTTGTATTCAAACTTACATCATACAAACATGGTAACAAATATAGTGATTTCTTTTAATTTAAAAAGTGAGTTGGGGCTAGAGAGAGAGCTCAGCAGTTAAGAGTACTGACTCTTCTTGGATAGGACCTGGGTTCAATTCCCAGCACCCATATGGTGGCTAACAACTGTCCATAACTTCAGTTCCAGGGGATCAGATGCCTTCTTCTGACCTCCACAGGCAATGCAGGACATGGGTGCACTTACACACATGCAGGCAACACACTCATACACATAAAGTAAAAATAATAAAATATTTTTTAAAAAGTGAATAGAGGTCAAAAAGTCACACTTGGACAAAATATTGATTTTGGACCAGCAAGATGGCTCAGCAAGTAAAGATGCTTGCTGCTAAGCCTGACAAACTGAATTTGATCCCCAGAACCCACATGTTAGAAAGAGAGAACCCTCCCCCATCCCAAGTTTTCCTCTGACCACACTACTATTACACACGTGTATGCACACACACAAACACAATTTTTAAAAATTTTATAAAGGATATTCTAAGCCAGGCAACTTCTGGGGAACAGAACAAAGAATTTACTTCTCAGGAAGGAGTTTTGAATTATGGATGGTGACTTGGGCTCACATCTCTGTCACATAGCAACTATCAGGCCTTGTGA